CTCCCGAGGCTGGGCAGTTGGCAGGCGAAGGCCACAGTGCTTCAAGTTATGGGAATATATTGAGGACACCCGCGTCTCCAGGGCTCCAGAACAATGGCTAATCAGGCCCGTGGTGGCAGCTCCGCACCCCTTTCCAAGTCAATCATCTTGTGCATTTCCAAGGCCAGCACTTAGCCCAGTTCCTGTCCCACTGCGGTGGCTTTTTTTGGGCATCCTTGTTTAGCAATCTGTACCCTACATTAAAATTTAAAATTTAAGCATTGAAAATTATTTTTGCAGTTCTACAATTTACTGGGGTGGAAGGGACCCATCAAAAATAATGACATTAATTTGGCAATACTTGTCTATCAAAGCTACAAATGCACACGCCCTTGACAGCAATCCCAGTTCCAGGGCTTTATCCTACAGATATACTCGCTCATATGCACAGAGGATAGTCGCAGCAGGAGACTGGAAACAATCTAAACACCCACCAGTAGGAGATGGGTGTAACGGCATATATGCATAATGGAGTATCAGTCATCCAACATTTTTTGAATAAGTGAAAATGACTGCTGAACGTGTCTTACATGCCAGCTCCTGTTCTTAGTGCCTAGGATATATTAGTTAACAAAACAAAGATTTCCTGCCCTCGTGGAGCTTACATTCTGGCTTATGTGTCACATGCTAAAAAGCTATTAAAAGGCTGCATCAGGTCCATAAGTAAGGATACCCATCCATCGACCACCTCCAAACTGTATTTATCATTAAATCAAAAAAAGCCAGGAATAGTGCGTATACATGCCACCATGTGTGTACAATGTAACTGTGTTTACATAGAATTTTTCTAGAAGGATTCAGGAGAAACTGAAACAGTAATGGCTCCTGGGAAGGAGCACTGAGGGACTAGAGGTCAGCTTTGGGAGGAAAGAGTTACTTTTCATTCTTTGTAAAGTTTAACTGTTTATCCCATGCTTGCCTTACCAAAAAACCCAAAATAAAACAAAATGCTAAAACAAAAGGCCTTTTACTCTGCCAGGTGCCTTCAAACTATTTAATCATCTAGACCAGTTTCTCAGCCTCGGCACTGTAGACATTTCGGGCTGGATGATTCTTTGTTGTGGGGAGCTGACCGGTCCATTGTAGGATGTTTAACAGCATCCCTGGCCTCTACCCACCTGATACCAGTAGCACCCATCCCCTAGTTGTGACAACCAAAAAATGCCTCTAGACATTGCAAAATTCCATGGAGGCAAAATCACCCGTGGTTGAGAACCACTGCTCTAGAGAAACTGTGAAACAGGGCAATGGGAATCACTGTCTCCATTAGACAAGTAAGAAAGTTGAAGCCCAAAGAGGTTTTATATTATCTTCAAAAATTGTATGCTTCGTTTTTTTCATTGTTATCTATTCATTTATAATTTTAAATACACAGTCCTCTGCTTGTACTTTTTAAGCAATCTATTAGTATGTGAGTGGATATACAAGAGCAGAATGAATCCAGTTTCTTACTTAGTTTAACCAGTTTCTAAAACTAGTGTTTTAGCTAAGTTAAATCTTGCTGGAGATGTTGGGCTACATAGCATAACAATCACTTAAAAAATAAACGAAATAATCTCCATTAAGATTTTGGGGGGGACTCTCTAACTGGATACCTGACGTTCTGAAAGACTACATCAAACATGGTGAAATATCAGATCTCTTGTTTTGTTCCAAATGTACGCTTTACCTCCCAAATCTGGAGTTGGCCGGCCTTATTTTTCCGGTTGGATTATTATTTGTGTCATGAGGGCAGGACTAAACTTCGCAATTCTTTTGTATCCTGTGGTGTCCAGCATGGTTCCCAAGGACATTTAAAATGAAGGCATCCCAGCAGGATGTGGACAGAGTAAAGGCCAGGACTTGGGACACAAATGGAAGCAGGTGGGGACTGTTGTCAGCTGATGGGTTTGAAAACACAAACTCCTAGGCTGCCTTTCAGAAAAGCCTCTAATCTGTGTTTGGCCTTGGCAGCTCACCGTAGGAGCGAGGACAGCAGGTTGTGTTGCTGGCCAGGGAGGGCTGTGGGCCCCTCCCCGGATCCTCTCCATCTCTGGGGCTTACTGTGCTGGGGGCTGAGATCGCAAAACAAAGAAGACATGACCTGAGCACCTTACAGTACGGTGCACACACACACAGCAATGCAGTATGATTCTTGCCCTGATAGGGGTGGCAAAGGGTGTTTTAGGAACCCTTGGAAGGGACTGGGGAAGGGCTTTCAGGGATAGGTGGCATATAAGCAGAGCCTGAAAGGACAGGTCTCAGATGCACCAGGTTTGTGCCCATTCTCCCCTTTCACCTTCACGTGGCTGGTGGTCCTCTTTGTCATTCTGGTCTCTCAGCTCAAATGTCACCTCTTCAGGAAGGTTCTCCTTGATCAGTGCAATGGAAAGCAGACCGTCTAATCTCCTAGTTTTATTTTCTTCATAGCCCTTCTCAGCAGCTGGTCTTGTTGATATGTCCGTTTACTAGCTTGTTGCCAGTGGCCCTCCTCCAGAGTGAGCGTTCAAGGGAACAGAGACCATGTCTCTCTCACCACTACTGTGGCCCTGTGAATACCCAACACCTATGGGATGAAGAGATTTGCCAGGTGGAGGGTGGAGCTGAGGTAGGGAGTACCTCTAGAATGCATTGGGCAGGTCAAGGTGAGGAGGACTGAAAAGGGTCCTGTGGCTCTGGCACCAGGATGCAAGATTGTGGAGGGGATGAGCCTGAGGTGCCAACGGGAGGACAAATCTAGATAACTCCCTGGAGAAGTCAGATGGAGAAAGGGAGCAGAGATGTGGGGTGGGAAGTAGAGGGACCACCCATCCATGCAGGGGCATAATCGGTATCTTTAATAGGATGGGGCCAGAATGTTTGTAGACTAAGGGTCAGGAGCCAATGGAGACCAAGGAAAGAGGGGGCCACCCAGAGCAAAGTCCTTGGGCAGAAGAGAGGACAGCAGCACAGAGGCCTGGAGGAAGCGTTCGTCTCTGACTACTGGATGGTGCCTACTCCATTGTGTCCAGAGGGAGGGAAAAGGCATGGGTGCCAGTTACAGATGCTTGGTGCCCTGAGAGCAGGGGCACCATGTGGTGTCTGAACTGTCCTGTCACCGCAGCAAGGCCATCTAGTGTTAAGGGCAGGAGAAAAATGGAAGGTGGTTGGGTAGGGGCCAGGGACCAAGCAGTGAGTGTAGCTAGGGAGGGAAGTAGGTGAAGCCAGGAGGGGCTGATGGGTGGGGAGAAGATGATGGTGACAAGAGACTGGAGGAAGAAAGATATCTGGTGATTGTTAAGATTTAGGGAGGGTGGGAGAGACAGCAGGGTGTGGTCTGAGAGTGGGGCATCAGGGCATCTGGTCTTCAGACTTCAGAGCGGGGCAGGTGGGGATGACATAGCCTAGGCTGTGGCCGTGACAGCTGGTGGCTAAGGCGGAGGGAAAGGTCATTGGAGACGAGGAGGTCAAGAAACTGTGTAGCCATGTGCTATATGGGTCCCCCAGGAGGGTAGCAGGGCTTGAGGTGAAGGAGCCAGAAGGGAGCTTCCAGAAATGAGGGGAAGTGCATGTGAGATGGGACAAAGAGGAGGTGTGTGGGTGGCAGAAGGCAGGGGGCCACACAAAGGCTGGCCAAGGGGAGGACGCTGACCACCACTGTCCTGAGGAAGAAGAGGGGGGCAGTCTTGAGACAGGGTCAGGTTTAGTGCAGGCAGGAGGTGGCTGGTGGGAGTGTTCCTTGATGGGGGCTCCTGGGAGCACAGAGGGAGGGAGCAGGAAGCCAGATCAGGGCTGGGGCCATGGAAGGACAGATGGCCGGTGTTTGAGAGGGAGGATGTGAGGCTGGGGTTGGCTGGCCTCCAAGCTCCCAGGGGTCCCTGCTGAGAGTCTGTGGGTCCCAGCCCGTGGGCCACTGTGCTTCAGTGCAGACAGACACACTTGGAAAGGAGTCTGAACATGAGGACTTAAGGGACTCCGCCCCGTGTGGGAAACGGCTGCCCACTCAGGAAGAGTCTTGGCCTCTCTCCCCAGCTGACTTTGGATCAGACACTACCTAGGGACCCCCAGGGCTCCTGCGGCCCGGCTGCGAGACCCTGGACCCTCAGGATGCCTCCGTGTCCCTTTTCCCCAGAGGGACAGGCCTGCCTAGCCCAGGAAGCACACCGAAGGGCTCGTCCTCTAGCACAGTTTAGGGACAGGGCTGAAATTCCTGAAATTCCAGATTCTTTGAGGGGCCTTGGTGGGCTGAGGTCGGGAGGGCCCGGCTCGGCTCCACCGCCAGAGGGCGTCCTCGGCCCGGTGGGCGGCCGGGCGGCCGTCGGGGGGCGCTGTCCGCGCCCTGCCCTGGGCCCAGCCCCCGAGCAGTGGGCCGCAGGCTGGGCCCGTGAGGCCCGCGAAGGCGGGGCGAGGGCGGGGCGAGGCCAGGCTGGGGCTGGAGGGCCGGGCCGGGGGCGGGGGAAGGAG